CTTGGGACACGTTTGTGATGCTTTTCTCAAAGAAGAATGATACGAGACTACAACTTTTGGAGAACGAGCTATTATCAATCTCACAACGTGACATGACGATTGCTCAATATTTCCACAAGGTCAAGTCGATATGTCGGGAGATTACTGAACTAGATCCGCAATCCGTCATTGCAGAAGCTCGAATGAAAAGGATCATCATCCATGGACTCAGGCCAGAATATAGAAGCTTCATTACTGCCGTACAAGGATGGCCTGTTCAACCATCACTTGTAGAGTTTGAGAATTTGCTGGCCAGCCAAGAAGCTATGGCTAAGCAAATGGGAGGCATCACGCTGAAGAGTGAAGAAGAAGCACTCTACACAAGTAAAAGTCGGAGGAATTTCAAGCCACCTTCTAAAGAAGGATACAAAAATGCTGACAAAGGGAAGAGTCAGCAAGGAACCTCACAACCATGGAGATCTCAAAAGACCGACATTAAGAGTTCTTGGGGGAGGAGGTTCGAAGGCAACTGCAACAACTGTGGAAAGTGGGGCCACATGTCCAAGGATTGTTGGTCAAAGAAAAAGTCTGTGGAAAGCAATGTAGTAACTTCCAAAAAGGAAATAGAGGATGAATGGGATGCTGAGGCATTATATGTCATAGAAGAAAACGAGTTGGCACTCATGGCAATTATGGGAGAGCGTATCGACTATGAAAATGACTGGATCATTGATTCAGGATGCTCCAATCACAAGACTGGCGATCAGAACAAACTACAAGACGTAAAGGAGTACAAAGGGAGTCGCATGGTACTTACAGCCAACAATGCACGACTTCCAATTGCTCAGATTGGAAAAACGACGATCATGCCTGGTAATAAATCTGACATGGTGTCACTACATAATGTGTATCACGTGCCAGGTATGAAGAAGAACTTGTTGTCGGTATCGCAACTAACATCGTCAGGCAACTACGTCTTGTTTGGCCCACAAGATGTGAAGGTCTATCGAGATCTTAAAATATCAGAAACGCCAACAATGGAAGGACGAAGATTGGAGTCCGTTTATGTGCTCTCCGTAGAGTCTGCCTATGTAGATAAGACTCGTAAGAATGAGATAGCAGATCTATGGCATGCACGGCTGGGATATGTTGGTTATCACAAGTTGAAGGTAATAATGGAGAAATCCATGCTCAATGGCTTACCTCAACTTGAAGTTAAAACAGATGGTGTTTGTGCTGGATGTCAGTATGGTAAGGCTCATCAATTACCATACAAGGAGTCAAATTTTAGAGCAAAGAAGCCACTAGAGTTAATTCACTCAGATGTGTTCGGTCCAGTCAAGCAGACATCAGTTAGCGGGATGCGGTACATGGTGACGTTCATTGATGATTATTCGAGATATGTGTGGGTTTTCTTCATGAAAGAAAAGTCCGAAACATTCTCAAAGTTTCTAGAATTCAAGACAACGGTCGAGGGAGAAGTGAGAAAGAAGATTCGGTGTCTACGCTCAGACAATGGAGGAGAATACACCTCGGAAGAATTTAATCGCTATCTGCAAGAATGTGGTATACGTCATCAATTCACATGTGCCAAAAACACCTCAACAAAATGGTGTAGCTGAGAGAAAGAATCGGCACCTTGCAGAAATTTGTCGAAGCATGCTACACGCGAAGAATGTCCCAGGAAGATTTTGGGCTGAAGCAATGCAAACTGCTTTCCCATGTGATCAATAAACTTCCCCAACCAAGGTTAGGTTTCATCTCACCATTTGAGACACTATGGAACATGAAACCTACTGTTAGCTACTTCCGAGTATTTGGCTGCGTTTGCTACGTATTTGTGCCTAGTCATTTACGTAGCAAGTTTGACAAGAAAGCAGTCAGGTGTATATTTGTTGGATACGACAATCAAAGAAAAGGGTGGAGATGTTGTGATCCAACAAGTGGAAGATGCTACACTTCAAGAGATGTGGTGTTCGATGAAGCATCTTCATGGTGGTCCTCAGAGAAGAAAGTAATACCAGACTCGGAAAATATTGAAGAAGTTTTAAAAGAAAAGATGGGGGAGCAAACTGCACATATTTGGTCAAGTGTTGATACACCTGAAGATCCGAGCGACACTGATGTCATTGAGCAAGAAGTAACTCAAACAAGTGATGCCGGTGAAAGGGAGCCACCGCCTCCACAACTTCGAAGGACGGAAAGAATCCGAAAGCCTAATCCCAAGTATGCTAATGCGGACATTTTAGAAGACGGTGTTAAAGAGCCGGAGACATATGAAGAAGCAGTTAAGAATAAAGCTTGGCAGAAGGCAATGGAAGAAGAAGTTACAGCCTTAAAGCAGAATCAAATGTGGGAACTGGTACCAAGACCAAGAGATATAAAACCGGTTTCATGCAAGTGGGTCTATAAATTAAAACGACGCACAAATGGATCAATTGAGAGATACAAGGCTCGTCTGGTGGCTCGAGGGTTCTCACAACAATATGGACTGGACTATGATGAAACATTTAGTCCAGTGGCGAAGATAACTACTGTACGAGTGCTGCTAGCTCTTGCGGCTAGTAAAGACTGGAAATTATGGCAGATGGATGTGAAGAATGCTTTCTTGCATGGAGAATTAGATCGAGAGATCTACATGAACCAACCAAAGGGATTTGAGGATGCAGTTAATCCCACTCATGTGTGCAAGTTGAGAAAAGCTCTTTATGGATTGAAGCAGGCACCAAGAGCCTGGTATGGTAAGATTGCTGAATTTCTTACCCGAAGTGGTTATTCAGTTGCACATGCAGACTCAAGCCTGTTCGTCAAAGAAAAAGAAGGGAAGTTGGCAATTGTGTTGGTTTATGTGGATGACTTGATCATCACCGGGGATGACGAAAGAGAAATCCATCAAACAAGAGAAAATCTATCGGTGCGATTCCAAATGAAAGAGCTGGGGGAGCTTAAACACTTCTTGGGGTTAGAAGTTGATCGTACAAAGGAAGGGTTGTTCCTCTGCCAACAAAAGTATACAAGAGATATACTTCAAAAGTTTGGCATGTTGGAGTGTAAGCCAATATCAACACCAATAGAGCCAAATGCCAAGATATGTGCTCATGAAGGAAAAGAGTTGGACGATGGTACGATGTATCGACAACTAGTAGGTAGTCTTATCTACCTAACTTTATCTCGGCCTGACATTGCTTATGCAGTTGGAGTTATGAGTCGATACATGCAAAGTCCGAAGAAACCTCATTTGGATGCTGCCCGACGGATCTTGAGATATGTCAAAGGTACAATTGACTATGGTCTCTTGTATAAAAGAGGAGAAGACTGCAAGTTGGTTGGATATTGTGATGCTGACTATGCAGGAGACCATGATACCCGAAGATCAACCTCTGGGTATGTGTTCAAGCTTGGGTCGGGGCCAATATCATGGTGTAGTAAAAGACAACCAACCGTATCGTTGTCAACCACAGAAGCGGAGTACAAAGCAGCGGCCGTAGCAGCTCAAGAAAGTACATGGTTGGTACTCCTAATGGAGGACTTACATCAAAAAGTTGACTATGCAGTACCACTTCACTGTGACAACCAATCTGCAATTCGGCTGGCGGAAAATCCAGTATTTCATGCTAGAACAAAGCATGTGGAAGTGCATTATCACTTTATCAGAGAAAAAGTCTTGATGGAAGAAATTGAGATGCGACATATCAAGACCGATGACCAAATAGCAGACTTGTTCACCAAAGGGCTGAGTACTGGAAAATGTGAAGGTTTTCGCTGTCAGCTTAACATGGTACGAAGAATGAGGGCTAGTGTTGAGGGGGAGTGTTAAAGATCATCAAGCTGAATGAATGATGTAGAATTCGATAGATTTTTGGAATTCTAAGTCATATGGGTTATTGTTGATTTTAGTGGAGAAATTGATGTTAAGTGAAATTAATTAAACACATTGTAGGTGTTAAGATTCATGATATTTTTTAGAAGCATGAAAGAAAAAGCAGTAAACACCTTGAGACAGAATTCCCAACAAGAATTTTATAAAGTATTTGTATATATACAACAGAAATTGTTAGATATATATTTTAATTGACATAATCCATCTTAGTATATCATCTTTAGCCTCTAGGATGATGTTACGTTTAAAATTGAAATCAGTGAGTTTAACATAGTAATGAAAAACAGAGACAACTTCATTGGTATCCTGAATCTGGATTCATACAAAATAATCCAATCTGATGCATCTCATATTCATCATTTTTCTTTTAAAACTCATATTGACACAACCCAAAATCTGAGGCTGTGACTACTCACCAATAGCTTACATAACAGTCCATGATCATGCCACCAAAAACAAAAAACTTAAACAGTGGAAATCTTAATAAATTATGTCACTAACCTTACATCAACATAATCTTTGACTTGTAATAAACATACTCAACGGTAAAACATATTAAAATCCCTTGAATGCCTGCTGCACCTTCTCCTTGCTGTTCGAACATGAAGCTATGATACTCCTGAGATACATGCTAATGTGAGGTTTATGTTGGTAATTCATGGTTTACTACACATAGAAGATACCACACCCATGGTCGTAAAATGTGTTTTTCAGAAAACTATATATAACACATTCAAAACAAATATAGCTATGAAAAACATCATGACAAATGTACCATAAACAAATATCATGTTTTAAACATAGACCGACATCACATAACCGGGCAAAAACATCCAACTTAAAGTAAAAAAAAAAAAAAAAAAAAAAAAAAAAAAATCTTTTGTATTTTGAAATTAAACCTTCTATGCGAATATGCATATTTGGCTTAACATGTAATTTGATTAAATTTTTTGATAAATGATGAAAAACTAAGAGTAATTGTTAATAAGAAAAAGTTGAGAAACATATGTATTACAGTATTTTATATATTTGTAGATACAATACATAAAATATTTTCAATTTTGTTGAGTAGTAGAGACTGCATAAACAATATAAATTATTATCTTGGAAGTTGTACTGTAAGATAACGGATTATTGTACCTTAGTGTCTCCTTGTGTTACAAAGTGGCCTTACCCATATGTCCTTCCTCTTTGTGAACCCATCACTACACCTTTTATATAGAAGATTTCCAATAACAACCCCAACAACCAGCCCACTTCCAACTCCACAAAATATGATGATCCAATCAATTCTTTCACTTGGGAAGAGAGACTCTGAGGCATTGCTTGCTGGTGGACGTCTTGACGCTTTTGAGCCTTGACATTTTTTGGATAAAGGTTTTCCGCATAATCCAGGATTCCCCTTGTAGGAATCATTTTCAAATGTATTAAATTGTTGCCCTGTGGGTATGCGCCCACCAAGATGGTTGAATGACACATTGAAAATGGAAAGGAAGTTGAGTTGCACCAACTGTGAAGGAATTTCTCCAGATAACTTGTTTTGGGAGAGGTCTATAGATTCAAGATTCTTTAGATATCCCAAGGACTGCATGACTTGTCCAGTAAAATGATTGTTGGAAAGATTGAGTGATTGAAGCCCTTGAAGATCTTGGAGTGATTGCGGGATTTCTCCTTCAAAATGGTTACAAGAGAGATCAATAGCCGTGAATATGGTTAAAATCTTTTCAAACCTGGTTCTGACACCTTTATGTACTATTGTCATCGAGTATACCGAGTATATACTGAATGATTTGAAGGACATATTGGTTTCCATAACATATGATTCACCATCATAAACGGATTTCATGGAATCCCATGTTTGGAAGTATTTATGGTGCAAATGACTACTAAAAGCATTGTTAGAGAGGTCTATGATCCGCAACTTAGGGAACTGTGGCCAAACAGTTGCGGAACCTTGAAGTGGACCAGAAAATTTGTTTGACCGCAAAACCAGAACTTGTAGATTGGAAAGGGTTCCCAACCAAGAAGGAAATACATCATCAAAAAGGTTATCTCCAAGAGAGAGAACCTCTAAATTTGTACAATTTGTCAATGACCTTGGCAGCTGACCCGTAAATCGATTTTCACTCAAATCAATACTTCTCAAAGGGCTTCCTAGCGTAAAATCATTCATCATTGTACCATCAAAGTTATTTCGTCTCAGATCCAAAACCAACAGAGAATTGCTTAAGTTACTCAAACATGGAGGTAGAGTTCCACTCATGTTGTTAGAAGACAAATCTAACAGTTGAATAGATTTCACTTCACATATCAATTCTGGTATTTCTCCTGTCAAATAATTGTTTGGGGCTGAATAAACAGTTGTGGTGTGTGGTGGAATTGGTAGTTGTCCTCCTATGTGATTATTACCGATGAAAAAACCTTCCAAAAATCGCCATGGTAGAAAATGTGGATTCTTATGAAAGCCAGTGATGGAGTTATCTGAAACATCAAACTGTTGTAATGTTTCTCGGCTGTTGTTCCAAATCCACACTGGTACCAGGCCATCAATTTTGTTGAAGCCGAAAAATAAGGCTGTCATTTTATTTTGAAAGCGCAAAAAGGCTGGAAACTCCTTCAAGTTGCATGATTGTAGGTCTAAGACTTTTAAATTTGGTAAGGTGGTATTGGTGTAGTTGTTGGTGACCACTAATGATATGTTGTTATCACTTAAGTAGAGAGTTTCGAGGTTGTTGAGTCCTACGAATATGCCGAAATCTACCCTACCACTGAAATTATTCATACGTAGGCCAAGATATTGCAGACTTTCGAAGTTGGAAAATGACCTTGAAATTGGTCCCTGCAATTGATTATACTTAAGGTTTAACCTTCTTAGTTGGGTGAGGTTGAAAAACGAGGATGGTATATGCCCAATAAGTGAATTTCTTTCGATTGAAACAACACCAAGTTTGGTTAGGTTTGCAAGAAAGTGTGGGATTTCACAGTTTATGCTCATATTAGCTAGATATAGTTCACTAAGTTTAGTCAGTTTGCCAAGCCAGTTAGGGAAGCAACCATTCTCGAATTTGTTACCATCAAGTTGCAAAACATGGAGTCTGGAAAGACCAACCAATGAAGGAACAAAGCCTGTGAACTTATTGCTACCAAGACCCAATGTAGTGAGCTGCGTCATGTTATTGAGTGAACTTGGAATGCGCCCTGAGAAACCAGTGAAAGATAGATTCACATGTTCAAGTAAACTGTTGTTATAAAATTCAGGTAAAGATCCAGTGAGGTTGGTATTGGATGCCACATCAAGAATTTTCAACTTTGGTAGCCCAAGAATAGTGGCAGGGAATTCATTCCAAAGTGAACAATCTGATAACCTTATTGACGTCAAAGAAGAAAAGTTGGACAAGAAATGAGGCACAAAAGAACTAATGTCAACCCCGGAGAGATCGAGTTCTTTGAGTCCTGTTAAGTTTTGCAGTAGTTTCTTGAGGCCACTAGGACTTTCAAGCTTTAGTGGATTCCTTGACAGATCTAAAGAAAACAATTGCACCAACTGCGAGATTTCATTCGGTATTTGGCCACTAAACCCAGAATCAGAGAGATTGAGGCTTCTTAATTGCTTTAGACGACCAATCTCAGATGGTATCTCAGATTCATCAAAGTCATTCATGGCAAGGTTGAGGCTTTGAAGATGCACAAGGCTGAAGAGCTTGCTGCTAGAGCTGATATGCCCACAAAGAAACCTTTCGCTCAAGTCAAGGGCAACCACAAGAGGGTACTCATGGTCGTTGCTACACTCCACCCCATACCACAAACAACAATCAAAACCAGCATCTGATGGATTGCTTGTGGGTTTCCAAGAGTCAAATGTCTGAAACCAACTGGCAGCACAAGCCGCATCATCTTGATGAATTAGGCTTTGCTTAAACTGAAACAAGGCTGAGCATTCTTCATCCTGGCTTACCGATGATCCAGCGCATGTGACTGTGACCATAACATAAAGAAGGGCGATGATTTGCAACATGTTGAAGTGATTTAAGTATGGAGACACAAAAAAGGGGTATATATAATATTATATTTGTTTGTAGATATGAGATGTATCATAAAGAGGATGTCTTTGTTTAACATTCAGCCATATAACTAGATAAGAAATGAAAGATCTAGATACATAGATGAAGAGGGAAAAATAAAAGGTAGATAATGAATCAGCTAATAGAGCCAAAATAGTATGACTTTGACTAAAAACTGTTGACTAAGTATAACAAAACAACAATATATCCTTCAAACGATTAAACTTTCTTGGTTTGTATGCCTAGGCTCATTTAGGATAGTCAAATGAAAGTACCTTTCAAGTTCAGTTTACGTGATCTTGTGGTTTAAATGGAGCAACTTTTATATTCAAAACTTTGACAAGATTTTCATTGGTGCAACGTGAACCAATCATTGGTGGTTATATATATATATATATATATATATATATATATATATATATATATATATATATATATATATATATATATATATATATATATATATATATATATGTTCAGATTCATTTGAGACCATTCTAATTTTGTGAGACCGTGAGACCAAATTTAAAAATAATTTTAAAATGCAAAATAAATGGAAAAATCCAAAAATTCTTTTTTTAAATATTATTTTCGGAACTTAAATTAACTAAAAAAAATTAAAAAAAATCCAGTTTTTTTTTGAAATATATGAAATATTCTAAATAGAATATTACACTGACATATTCTAAAAAATAATTTTAAAACGCAAAATAAATGGAAAAATCTAAAAATTCTTTTTTTAAATATTATTTTCAGAACTTGAATTAACAAAAAAAATATTAAAAAAATTAAAAAAAAATTCTATTTTTTTTTTGAAAAATACGTGAAATATTCTAAATAGAATATTACACTGTACATATTCTAAAAATAATTTTAAAATGCAAAATAAATGGAAAAATCAAAAAAAAATTTTAATATTATTTTCGGAACTTGAATTAACTAAAAAAAATAAAAAAATGTATCTCACGGTCTCACAAAATTAGGCCGTCTCACATGAACCTAACCCTATATATATATATATATATATATATATATATATATATATATATATATATATATATATATATATATATATATATATATATATATATATATAGGATTAAATGTGAATTACAAGTATTGTGTGATTGTATGACTAGATTTGGACCCTTAGATTATAATTTTTGATGGTTAAGATTATTATGGTCTACCATAGTTATTGTGTGATACATCACACATTAACAATGTTTTTTTTTTCAAAAAAAATTAATTAACTGCATTATAGACATTTTTATTCAATACCAAGTAAGGAAGTTACTATTATTTAAGGAGTTACAGTTCTTTTCTTTTCAAATCCATTTTAGCTAACCATTTTTTTTGAAACGTTGTTTCAGATCATATAGCCATGAACTTATATACTTCTTTCATTCTTAAATAATCTAACTACAGTTTAGTGATTGTTTGAGAATTCAAATTATTAAAGAATAAGCTTGTATATATTTTTTAATAATAACATTTTGTATCAAAATAACAATGATTCTTATTGTACAATTGAAATATTCTTCCGAGAAAAATGTAAAAAGTAACAAAAAAAAATCACAATTTTACAAATCACAGAGTATCATATGATAATATGATCATGCTTTGTATTCTTTTTATCATATTTTGTAATAATATGGAGTAGGAATGAATGTTAAGAATCAAAATAAGTAAACATAAAACAAGAATGTATATACATCATTTTAAAGAACATATATAACCTCTTATCCTACATTTTCAAGAATTTGACATCATTTCGGAAGAATATACAAAGAAAAATTATGATATATAAGACATTCTGTAAGAATCTATCATCATTCTTTAAGAATTTGTCGTCATTCTTGAAGAATCAATATGCCCTTGTTTTTTGATGGTTTTCGCATGCCTTCATATTTACCTGTTGATGTTTGAATTGAAACACACAAATGGACATTAGATATCATATGGTGCAAAAGAGGTCAAGAACATTCACAATAAGGATGTCTAGTCACAATGGGAAAAATAAATTCAACTCCATTAGAGTTCAAAACTCATACGAATGCAATTTGATCTTCCATTAAAGCAACTACTCACTTGAGAATCAAAACCCATCACTCTGCTTTATATTGGGTGCAACTCCATAGTCAAACATACTTGTTTAAGCGTAAATTCAAGTCAACTAATAACAATAAAGCTACACGATTCTAGAAAAAAAAATGATAGATTAATGAAAAATGCATCCAAACATGATAAATCATATAAATTTCTATATTTTGAACACAAAAATTCTATGAACAGATTTCAGAAAACAATTAGATTTAGAAGAAAAAAAACTGACATCCAAGTGATAGTGATGAATTGGTGACGGAAGTAAAGAGATGAACAACTTATTTGAAAAAGTAGAGGATACAGGCTCACTAACAGTGAACATCTCATTGCATGAATCCAAAGCCTATCAAAATGCAAGAACATAAACTAAAAAAGAACATAAGCTCAAAAAAGTATAAAATGACAAAATTTCACTAAAACTCATCAAACTAAAATAAAATAATTTACCTAATCAACTATAGCATACATGATAACAGTTTTACATAGAATACAACATCAAACACCTGTACCAATAACCTACGCCACTGCAGCGCAAAAAACAATAAAAAAACATCAAATTCCAAGAACATTACACAAACCCTGTATGCCAAACATCATGTAATTAATCCCATAATCAAGTATAAATCCGTGATCAACATATGTAGTTAATAAATATACCAATAGATTTATTTGAACAATGTTACATATTCTGATTTATTCTTTAAGAATAGTAATGATGGACAAGGTGAAATTTCCAAGAGAACGTACTAAAAACATAAGTCTTAAATAATGATTTGGAGCATTGTATTCAGTGAATATTCTAGAAGAATGGTTCTATAAATATTTTGTCAGAATGATTTTGTAAATATTCTGTTAGAATGATTTTGGAAATATTCTTTTAGAGTGATTTTGTAAATAATCTGGTAGAATAATTTTAAATATATGTAATAATGAGTAGTCATTAGTAAGATCATCAAAAGTTTTACATATATAAAATCAAAAACCATTGAGTTGTTAGAAACTTGAAAATCACATGTTATGCATATCCAGTCACTTTTAGAAGCTTGAAAAATCACACATGCTTTCTTAAAATTTGAAAATCAAACATGATATAACTAGCAACTTTTATAGTTGAAAGGTTTTGACATCAAAAGCCAAATACTCCTGGAATCAAATAAGTTTCAGCCAGTTCAATAGAAGATTTCATTTAGGCATATAATCGAACACTTCATGTTCATATAAAAATACAAATAGATGAAATGAATCAGCAGTTTAATCATTGTAACTCTAACTGTAAATCTGGTTGAGAAAAACCTTACTTTGTATCTAAGTATAGATAAAACAAAATTAAGGATTGATGACCTACCAAAGTGCAACCCAAATCAGAAAATATACACCCAGATTGTTATCATAATCAATTAGTCAAAGTACTTGATTGACGCAATTCCAGTTCATATGCAAAGAAATGATATGAAAATCAAGATTTTGAGAAGAGAATATAGGTAACTTGAAAGGAGATTCATGAACCAATAGTGAAGATAAAGGTGACAATTGTCTCTAGAAAAATATGGTCGGAGAGTTACCTCTAGTGGGTCTCCTTGAGCAGTCTCTAATCGGGCCACAGGGGACGCATCCGACGTGTTGATTTCGTGGGGTTCTCTGGTGGAATAGCTTCCCTATGGGACCCCTCCCTTTTCTAGGTCTTTGAATCAAATATGTGGGAAAAGAACAAAAAACGGGGAAGGAGATGATAATGTAAGTTTGGTTGTTTTCCTAAGGTGGTGATTTTGTGGAAGCAGGTAATGTTGGTGATGGAGCAACAGATGAGGCAAGGGGCGATCGACACACACACACACACACGTTTGATATACACCGTTAATATTCAGGGGGTGATTTTTCCTTCTGGTTTCTTCCTGAGATCGAGGTGAACAAGGTGAATGAGTGAATTAAGGGTAAAAAATAACCGATCCTCTATTTAAGGGAAATATCTATAATTTTGGATTTTATTTTTGGTTATTAAAATAATTTTAAGTAAAATTCCGAAATTACCCTTGAATCTTGATTGGTCAGGAATCCGTCACACATTCACACAATAATTAGAGCTTATATATGAACCTAACTCTATATATATATATATATATATATATATATATATATATATATATATATATATATATATATATATATATATATATATATATATATGGTCGGGTTCCAGTGAGGACTCATTTTAAAATGAGGACTCATGAGGACACCTTAAAAAATTGGAAAAAAAAAATCTAAAAAAAATACACATCATAAAATCGAGTCCTCACTTTAAAATGTTCTCACGAGTCCTCACTTTAAGGTGTTCTCACGAGTCGTCACTTTAAAATGAGTCCTCGCCTGATCTTATCTCTCTCTCTCTCTCTCTCTCTATATATATATATATATATATATATATATATATATATATATATATTTGCAATTTAAAGATTAAATGTAGCAAGAACTTCTGGCCGAATCCCTGCTTCTTGATTCTTTACTTGAATCGTCATTATTCTTTTACTTTGTTTTGGTTCTCGTCCCAGGCTAAGATAAAATGACTATTTTTCTAAAAATTTTATAATGTTTTCTTATAAGTTTAATAAGCTAAATGGATCTCCATCCCCTCCACTTTTCCACACAAATGGAACAGTGGAAATAGTTAAAAAGTGTAACATGAAAGAAAATTTATAGAAAGTTGGAAATTTAAGTATTCAAGAACGCAATTTTATAGTTTTGAATAGTTTTTTATTTTCATTGACTACTTTAAATTTATTATTCCCACAAATGTGACCATTTGATGTTGTTCTAAAAAATGTGCCCCTTTAATTGTTGAAGGTCATTACGAGCCCAATAGAACGAATGTTATTGTCTAGAAGAAGTTAGCTTGTTCTAGAATGGTCAGGAAGATTCTAGAATATTATGGAATATAATGGAGGAGTCTAGAAGACGCCAGAAAACTCTAGAATACTCTAGAAAATATGGAAGACACTGGAAGTTTATGGAACATTCTAGAAGACTATAGAATGTCATAGTCTTCTCTAGAAGCTTCCTAAGAGGCTTATCAATAGGTGTGGAGCTCATTTTCTTCAAACCATCCGAGAAACACTTCAAAGAAAGCAATGTTTGTAGTAGTTTCTCAAAGTGTAAGTTCTTCTTAAGTGGTCTTAATAAAAGTACTATTTTTTCCCACATAAAGATTTGTGTTCAACAATCTGGTAATTTGCAAGGTTTCTTGATAGTGAGAACAAGTGATTCTCTTTGTATCAGGAGTAGTCTGTTAATCTACAAGTTAGCGTTGATGCTAATTTGTTTGGTATTACTGAGGTACTGCCAACATGATGAGTGATCTCCAAGTCGTTGGAGGAATCAAGAAACTTAACAACAACAAGTACAATATGTGGGAACATGTATGAAGTCCTACTTACATGGACAAGATCTATGGGACGTCTTTTGCGTAAGTGAAACTACGCCACCAAAGGAAGATATTAATGGCGCTTTGCGCAAATGGAAAATCAAAGAAGACAAAGCGATGTTTTCCTTGAAGACCACAATTGAAGAAGAGATGTTGGAGCATATTCGAGATGGGAACACACCAAAAGAAGCTTGGGACACATTTGTGATGCTTTTCTCAAAGAAGAATGATACAGGACTACAACTTTTGGACAACAAGCTATTATCAATCTCACAACATGACATGAAGATTGCTCAGTATTTCCATAAGGTCAAATAGACCGTAAATCTTGGGGACTATCTCCCCTACTACTACTAGCATATAACATCGTATCATACTAGCACATAACATATTAGGTAGTAGCAAACCTAGATGAATATCACAAAGACAATCATCTAACATATGACTCTTACTGGTGGGCTGGCATTGGTGCCTTAGACCCACTTCTACTGGAAGGTAAATCACCTTGCAAGGCTGACTGCTGAAAATTTGATCGACAGATGTCTAAATGCTGCTCCGGTGATCCCCCGACTATAAATCCATAAAACACTTAATCAGACACTGATAACTATTCTTAGGGTAAAATGACTATTTTACCCCTGACCAAGTCAAAGTCAAAGTTAACTTCCAGTTGACCCGACTCACCGAGTTGGGCCGCCAACTCGTCGAGTCCTTATCCTTTCATATGTCCTTCTTTACACCTCTGCTCGTCAAGTTTGGCAAAGACTCGATGAGTTCTCCTTCTAAAACAACCCTGAATGAACCTTCATCCGACTCGCCGAGTTATATGAACAACTCGTCGAGTTCATCTCCATCCTATGAACAAGTCTTGCCCTCAACTTGCTGAGTTATGAACAACTCGTTGAGTTCATCTTTGAAAGTTGGGAGATTGCCTTGGAATCGCCAAGTCTGTTCATACACTCGTCGAGTCCTATGATTACTAGGTCTATGGCTAAATCCAATGCGTTGGGTCACTCCCCCAGACCCCTTTAAGACCACTCTAACATTCACTGGATTCCTTCGAACCATAACATAAAAGGGAAGTTAAGCCATGGACTCGCTGAGTCCCAAGAACGACTCGCCTATTCGAGAATGACCAAATCTTATTTCTCGATTTCTGACAACACTTGACCAAAAGATAGATCTAGGCTTCTAAGATCGATCTAGCACGTAAAGCATGGGACTATGAGCTCAAATGGCCCTAAATGAGACTCTTAAGATGCATGGGGTTTTCCAAGGCTCCAAAATCAGTTCCTTTCTGCCTTGTAACCCCTTAAGGACCTTGGATCAGAAGTCTTAGTCCCTAACCATGATTGCACTCATGATTGGTCACCAAGAATGGCTCCTAAAAGCCCAAAATCACCCTAAAAAGAGATCTAAAACATGAAAGAGCAAGGTATCAAGTTTATACCTCTAAAGAACTGCAGAGGGTGCACAAAATCGAACTCGCCTGGCCTACTCTTGATTCCTCAAGCTTTTCTCTTCCTTCTTATGTTCCAAAATCACCAAAAACCACCACCAAGGCCTTATATCTTTACACAAACAATTAGGGTTTGATATGCAGGGTTTTGAGAGCAATAGGGACGAAGCGAGGTTGAATGAGATGTTTAAATAGGGTGCAATCCCTTAGATTAGGGTTTTCTCCAAACAGCGCCTACTCGTCGAGTCGGTTTGCTGATGCATCGAGTAGGTCACTAAACTCCCACGTCCAAAGTCGATTCTACTCGATGAATTGGACCTCAACTCGCCGAGTCCCAGGCGAAAATGCTATAATTACTTGAATGAAAAATACGTACCAGGAACCGGGTGCTACAAATCTCCCCCACTTATGTTAGACTTTGTCCTCGAAGTCTGGTGCTTGATCCTAAAAAAGCTCTAGGTAATGCTCCATCATCTCGTCCTCCGGCTCCCACGTCCATTCCGAGCCTTTTCGGTGCCACCATTGCATCTTCACCAGCTTGACCTTCTTGTTCCTCAAATCCTTTGACTTTCGGTCGAGGATTGCCACATGCCGCTCAATGTAATTCAGGCTTTCATCCACCTGAATATCTGATTGGTCTATATTTATAACACAATAAATTGTACTAAATATGTTGAATTAATGTATGATTGCCCAAGAATGGCACTACTTTGATGAGTTGTTGAACTTTATATGCAGGTCATTATATACGACTAAATTGGGTGGAAACTGCAAGAAAAATGAGCAAAATGAAGTTAACATGCGTGGGAGACAAATTGCTAAACGAATGAAGAAAAATGGTGCCGAGAAATTTGACCACTCTTCAATGTTTTGATCATATCTCAAAATCTGGAGCTCTGATTGAAATGAATGAAGAAGTTCTAAAAACTAGACAAATTTTCCTGAAACTTTCATGTTTTGCATTTTTACTGATTCTGCCGTTTTCATCACCAAAAAGGGGCAACAAATATGAGACGTCCTAAAACGCATCTAAGACATCCCCTAGGACGCCTACCCGTTTTAGGCCATTTTCAAGTGAAAATCAAGGATGACAGAAGGCATGTAAAACGCCTTGAAGGACACCCAGACGTCCTATATGACATCTAAGATGCCTACTAGGACGTCGACATGGAAAACAACTCTGAAAATCAGTTTTTAGCACCTATTTAAAGGAGATTTAACCCTAATCGACTTTGGACTTCTCCCTTGTGATTTTCACCAGTATTGGAGGGTTCCAAACCTTCTCCAAACACGTTCTTGATCATCAATTTCTGAATCAAAGCCAAGAAATCATCAAATTCATTATCAAGCAACGTTTGAAGATCATTCAACCGGTGAATTGTCATCAATTCCAGCAAACTCCAGATTTGGTTACTTCTTCTCCAAGGTTTCATCTTTTCATGATTGATTGATCATTAGACTTTATTAGTTTTATGATTTCAAGTATTTTTATGAATTATAGTATGAATTCCATTGTTTTTATTCAATTTGTGTGCTTTTTGATTGTTATGGAAGACTAAACCACATAGGTTACTTCCGGGAACGTTGTAGGATGTTAGGATGAAATCGTTTTGATTATTACTTTTATTCTAGTCAATTTCAGTTATTGTTTCATTCTTAAAGTTATGATTTTTACTTACAATGATTGGAGTTGGGTTTTCTTATTCGGTGATATTCCAACTAAGATAGTGTATTGTTAATTCACTAATCATTCTGAATTCAAGTAGTTTAGGAACTAAGATGATCAGTTGAACAGACATACATTATTCCAAATTTGTATTATTATATATTCAACATTGTAATAGGTAATTGTAAGACACATTATCACCAAACTACTAGTTGTTCCTAATCCAGTTAGACATAGAGAGTAAGACAACTAGTTGGGATAACATATTGTGTGATCAAAACTATTTGTTGCAAGTTAATCAACCTTAATTATGTCTAGGTAATTAAATTGGAATTTAAGAGAAGAAAAATGTGTAAGTCCAACCATCTAAACAACTGAACCGGAAGTATCTTGTTTCTTTTTCTCATTAATAGTAGTTTGTTTTAGTAGTTCTTACATTACCAAGTTTTTAGCTTTTTCATAAACTTTTAGTTTAAATAATTTTGTGACAATTGCTAGTAGTTTTTCATTAACTATTCATTCTAACACAAAGTTTGACCACAACCTCCTCGTGGATTCGACCCTTACTTACCCTAGCTATCTAGTGTGTGTGAGGTTCATTTTTGACCGAGACAACGACCTCGATCAAAATTTAGCGCCGTTGTCGGGGAGATTGTGCACTTAAACTATTGTGTTGAACTAGTCATTACATTTTTTTAATTTTTTCTGTTTTATTTTTAGTTCATAATCTTCACTCTTTTATTGTTTTTTATTATTTTGTAGGGATAGTCATGAATGGAGGAATACACTTACATGGATCAAGATATTTGGTTGGGGAATGAAAATCCAACCCAATATCAATACTATAATGATCCATACAATGATTCATATAATGATGATCCATATGACGATGATTGTTAGTGGACTGGCAATTCGACTCAAAACCAACACCATGAATCACCTTGTTTTCCGGAAGACCAAGAATCAAATGAATCTTCATTCAGCAAAAAGTTGGATCAAATGATAAAGATGCTGAATGAAACCTTCAACAAGGAGGAAGACAATTCCAAATTAATTTTGGAGATTGAAGATCAACTAGAACGAATAATGGAGCAACTAAAGCAACAACCACCGGGAAAACCTTCACACACTACCCAAGTAAATGAGGTAAGTTTTCTATGCATTAATAGCATTATGGATAATCCTACACCACCCGAACTTGAGGTTGTGGTGGAGGATGATGTACCTTTAATTGATAATGATACCCAAAGTATGTTTGAAATCAAAGAAGTTGTAATTGAATTGGAGAAGTATAATAAAGCGCTTCATGAGTTAGAAGCGTCCAAAGTTGGGGAGAGGTTTGTTGCGGCTAATACCATACCCTACCCAACAACTTTTAAAAAAAAAACCGACCCACAACTTCTTCTGATGGAGTCTAAAATATTGGCCAAATACAAACAACCAAGTATAATCATTGATCATCCTTTTTTGGAAACTATATATGCTCATATTAGTTGTCAGGAAGGTGTGATAAATGTGACATTTGTAAGCCATAAATTGAGAGTCCTATTCTTTGGACCTACCAATGATCCTCCAATTAGTGGTGACCTGGTTTTAATTAATACGATCGATGATTATGTTTATGAGCATACCGCAAATATGCTCAATGGCACCGCCCACAATTTGGAGATAATTTTATCAAGTAACAGGTCAAAAGCATCAGATGATTGCATGAGTTAACACAAGAAAAGAAGATTAGGGAATAAGAAGCATGATTATACACAATCTAAAAAATCAAAAATGAAAGTGTTACATGATATCAAGCATCGATTAAAGAAGTTTACTAGATGGAAAGATGCATGGCTCTTCAAAGCAAGGTTTAAGCATCATCGTGGAAGGATTAAACACAAAATGGTTTATTTAGTCAAAGAATGCATTCCACATGATGTGATTCCTCAAAGTAAGTTGAGCAACCTCATGTTTGGATTTCAAAAAAGTCCACTAACATATGATCCTACATAGACATCGGTTGAGGTAACCTGTCCCGCTAATGATGTTAAACTTGGCAATTTTGGAACTTTGTGGGTGTGTTCACGGCAAACCCTCACGCGACTTCATTCGTCCCCTAGGGGTTTAAAAGGCTTGTTGTACGTTCCAAGTGCAATCGTAGACCCCGATGAAATTGAGGGCTAGTTAGTGTAGTTTGTTTTTATTTGATTTGATTTGTGTGCTTGTAGTTGGTGTCTTTTATTATTTTAGGAATTTATTTTTTGATGCATCGAGGACGATGCAAAACTTAAAGTTAGGGAGGGGTGTACACAAGAAAAAGATGGCGGATTGAAGAAAAAGTGATTTTTTTAAAACAAAAATCATAATTATTCGATGTTTATTCGGGCATAACGAAACATTATGCAGATACCTCCAACGAGTGAAGTTTTTTTTTTGGAAATCAAAATCGCCTCTACCATCAGTACCATCAGGTTTGTCGTCCTCCCTCCATATTTTTAATTTCTTTTACATTAACTTTGATGGATTTTGTTTGGATAGTCAACTTAGGATGAATGTACTTCTATCTTAAACTTTATGTTTTAATTATCTTATCCTGGAGTTGGTCACCATGAAATCTGTGATGAGTTAGTAGCTCCTCTATGTCTTGAATGGAACTCATCAAGATGGAAAATGATAGGAGTTTTGTACATCGAGTCATAATATCTATTTCATATTGATTTTGTGGGTTGCTTATCCAGTTTGGGAATACTTATATATATTTAAAATTTGTTATGTGAAATACCCAAGTCTTTGAAAAATGAAGGTTTTTGGATAGAGCCTACAATCTTTCAATTGAGGACCCAACCGAACAATATGTGTCATCACGCTCTGAATACTTGGTCTTACTTACTCCTGCGCCTTTGGGGTTGGGAGGGGACTATTATTGTTTTCAGACAACCAAAAAGCATCATAAGACATTGAAGAACTTCCAAGTACATATATTCAAGCTCAAGTCAAATACAAAAATTATCAAATCCAAGGAAGCCATCAAAGAACATGAAGAATGCAAAATCAAGATAAATATGAAGAAAAGTTCAACTTGAAGACATTGTGTGAAACAATATGTGACCCCTCGATAGCGGGAGTGTATGGGTTGGTCCATTAAGAGTTACCGACCGCGCTAACTATGTTAGTGAACCTTGAAAACAGGACTTTGGTAATGAGTTCAACTTATTACTCATGAGGTTGATTATTGTAAAGGATTCAAAAACTAGAGGGTTTCAAAAAACAAAGTAAAATAAGCATAGCATGTATTTTGTTTAAAAGTCGGGATAAGCAACTAAAAATCCCCAAAATCAACATATTGATGTATGGAATTCGTGATTCCATTGAGTTTTTCTTAGGATAAGAGAGTAAGACTACACTGATTATTTCAGGCTAACCTCGGGACGAGTTTGGAATAAAGTTGGGGAGGTTTGATCGGTCTATATTTATAACACAATAAATTGTACTAGATATGTTGAATTAATGTATGATTGCCCAAGAATGACACTACTTTGATGGGTTGTTGAACTTTATATGCAGGTCATCTTATACGACTAAATTGGGTGGAAACTACAAGAAAAATGAGCAAAATGAAGTTAACGAACGTGGGAGACGAATTGCTAAAGGAATGAAGAAAAATGGTGCTGAGAAATTTGACCACTCTTCAATGTTTTGATTATATCTCAAGATCTAGAGCTCTGATTGACATGAATGAAGAAGTTTTGAAAACTAGACAAAATTTCCTACAACTTTCATGTTTTGTGTTTTTACTGATTCTGCCATTTGCATCACCAAAACGGGGAAAGGACGACAGAAGGCATGTAAAACGCCCTAAAGGACACCCAGACGTCCTATATGGCGTCTAAGACGCCTACTAGGACGCCGACGCGGAAAACAGCTCCGAAAATCAGTTTTTTAGCATCTATTTAAAGGAGATTTAACCTAATCGACTTTGGACTTCTCCCCTATGATTTTCACCAGTTTTGGAGGGTTCCAAACCTTCTCCAAACGCGTTCTTGATCATCAATTTCCAAATCAAAGTCAAGAAATCATCAAATTCATTATCAAGCAACGTTTGAAGATCATTCAACCGGTGAATCGTCATCAATTCTAGCAAACTCCAAATTTGGTTACTTCTTCTCCAAGGTTTCATTTTTTCATGATTGATTGATCATTAGACTTTATTAGTTTTATGATTTCAAGTTTGTTTATGAATTATAGTATGAATTCCATTGTTTTTATTCAATTTGTGTGCTTTTTGATTGTTATGGAAGACTAAACCATATAGGTTACTTCCGGGAACGTTGTAGGATGTTAGGATGAAATCGTTTTGATTATTACTTTTATTCTAGTCAATTTCAATTATTGTTTCATTCTTAAAGTTATGATTTTTACTTACAATGATTGGAGTTGGGTTTTCTTATTGGGTGATATTCCAACTAATATAGTGTAGTGTTAATTCACTAATCATTATGAATTCAAGTAGTTTAGGAACTAAGATGATCCATTGAACAGACATACATTATTCCAAATTTGTAGTATTATATATTCAACATTCTAATAGGTAATCGTAAGACACATTATCACCAAACCACTAGTTGTTCCTAATCTAGTTAGACATAGAGAGTAAGACAACTAGTTGGGATAACATATTGTGTGATCAAAATTATCTATTGCAAGTTAATCAACCTTAATTATGTCTAGGTAATTAAATTCGAATTTAAGGGTAGAAAAACGTGTAAGTCCAACAACCTAAACAACTAAACAGGAAGTATCTTGTTTTTCTCCTATTTGATAGTAGCTTGTTTTAGTACTTCTTGCATTACCAAGTTTTTAGCTTTTTCATCAACTTTTAGTTTAAATAATTTTGTGACAATTGCTAGTAGTTTTTCATTAATTATTTTAACACAAAGCTTGACCACAACCTCCTCGTGCATTCGACCCTTACTTACCCTAGCTATCTAGTGTGTGTGAGGTTTGTTTTTGACCGAGACAATGAACTCGATCAATATCCTCCTGAGGTACCACTGCCGATTCATCCACCAATCACTTCCGCAAATGGGAGACATGGAACGTACTGTGAATCTGACTAAGTTTGGCCGGTAGATCCAGTCAATATGCCACTTGCCCACCCGGGCTATAACCCTGAAAGCTCCAATATACCTGGGGCCCAGCTTGCCCCACTTCCTGAATCGGATAACGCCCTTCCATGGCGACACCTTCAGGAGGACCATATCCCCGACCTGGAACTCGAGGTCCAAGCGGCGCTTGTTGGCATAACTTTTCTGCAGACTCTAAGCAGTCTGAAGCCTGCTCCTGACTTGCTGAATCCTCTCTATCGTCTTGAGCACCACTTCGGTGCTCCCCATGACCCTCTAACCCACCTTACCCCAGCATATTGGGGTCCTACACTTCCTCCCGTATAACATCTCAAAGGGATGATGATCAAAAAACTCGCGTGGTAGTTGTTGTTGTAGGAGAACTCAACTAATGGAAGATAGGTATCCCAACTATCGCCGAAGTCTAACACGCATGCCCGCATCATATCCTCTAGTGTTTAGATGGTCCGCTCGCTCTGCCTATCCGCCTGCGGGTGAAAAGAGATGCTAAAGTGTAGACGAGTACCCAACTCATCGTGGAATTTCTTCCAAAATCTGGAAGTAAAATGAACATCTCTGTCAGAAATCACGGAGACTAGCACTCCATGCCGAGCCACCACCTCTCGAATGTAGATTTCGGCCAACTTCTCGGCCGATATATTCTCCTGGATCGGTATGAAATGGCACTCTTTGTCAATCGATCCACAATAACCCATATGGAAGCTACTCCCCGCGTGGCCCTGGGAAGTTTGGTGATGAAATCCATGGTAATATCTTCCCATTTCCACATGGGAATATCTAATGGCTGCATCTTGCCGTGTGGCCTCTGGTGCTCGGCCTTTACCTTCTTACAGGTCAAGCATCGCTCCACATACCATGCTACTGTTGGAATAGTGTCTAAGTCTGTAACTATATTTGATATATACTAACCCGGTTATGCATGATCCTTTAGGGTTGCCTTCTCCAAAGCAACTTAACAAGGTAATTTAAGGAGAAAAAAAGAGTATTATGATTTATTAATATATTATAAGAATAATATATTAAAGGAAAAATCATATTTATTTAATTAGTATTGGTCATAAATAAATTAGGAATTAATTTGGTGATCAAAAGAGATTAATTGAATAAAGGGGTATAAACTGTCAAATGTATGATAGTTGAGTTTTGGGTTAAGGAAACCTAATGGGCTTAAGAGGGAACGAAATTATGATGGGTATCCATCATATTTTCATCCAAGGCCTTATTCCAGAAGGTTCCATGGGCTGCTTGGTGGCTAAGTTGTCCATTAGGGTTTAGACTGAAACCCTAGTAACCTGTAAGTATAAATATGACCCCTAGGGCATTGAATTCGGCTACCACTTGATTCTAAAAGATCCCTAGGCTGATTTCTAGCCTCTCTCTCCATCTCTCATATTGCCTTCTTGCTTGTGGGGTTTGTAAACCATTAGAGGAGTTGCATTTGTGACTCTAAGCTCAAGAGAAGAAGAAAGAGAAGATCTAAGCCAACAATTTAAGAGGTAAACATCTAGATCTGATTCTATATGTTATTTTTGTTGTTTATATGCTAGATTAGGGTTTGTAAGTCTTGAAATCAAAGCATGTTCAATA